GCATCAGGTAAATGAGGTCTACAGTCATATCAGCAATGTGTCCTCCTTTGGGGACTACCTCGCTCTGAACAACATCATGCTCTTACCTATCTCTGTCGAGTCGTACTGCCCTCTGCATCCTGGCATTGGGTCATTCCAGGCAGCCCTGAACCTAAGCTAATCACCAGCCAACAGCATCTTCTGACAGTTCACACAGGCTGTCTGTAAGATACTGAAAACGTTGCACAGATCCCAGGTGACGAGAAGAACTGTAAGGGAGGCTGTTCCACAGATGGTGCACCGAGGGTGCTTCCAGCCATTCACTGCACCTGTAACAAGATTAAAAAGCTAACTGAGGGCATTAATTTGCAAATAAACAGGCACAGGACATCCACATCTAGTCACCATCCAGCCATTCCATGTGACTGAGCCTGGAGAAATCTGCCTTAAAGTTTCCCAACAGCAATATGTCCGGTGTAACATATAAACTCACCTGCAAGAGTAGTATCTGTTGTCCTGGGGTGGGATAAGCATAAACTTCCTTGACACTACGTTGCTTTGACTGTGGTTGCCCACCCTCTCCTTCCTTTCTTTACATGACTACAGAAGACTCTGCTTATGCACTAATTCTTCACCTTTATTGTCCTCTGACAAAGAAAGCTGCTACAGACTTAGTAAAGGACATCACAGAGTATTCAGCATCCTCAGACTTACATGTTCATACCCTAGGGAAAAGTAGCAATACCTTTGGGAATTACTGTAACATCTACAACCTTGCATTTCAGAGCAATTTCAGGGAGAGCTGGGGGATGTGGAAAGGAAGAGTCGGGCATGAGCTCATTCAGCAGTGACCTCAACTTGAAAAGGATGCATCTTTTTCTTTTTACATTCCTTATTCCCACACTCTAAAACTACTGTACTGCCTCAGATGTCATTGACAGCAATATGAAGAGCAATACGTGGTCCCATGCTGGAGCTCTTTCTAAAGATGGCCAGGGTAGAAATAAGGAGGTGGGAAGAAAGTGGGAGGTACCTTAGGAAGGAGGCATCTTTTTGCCTGTCCATGCACAGTGCCTGCCACTCTATCATGTGCAAACACAATTTTTGCTGGCACTTGGATGAAATTTTTTTTTTTTTAGGTTTCAGGGAGTATGTCTAGCTATAAGGAGTGTGGTTTGGGTGAGGCAGATTAAGCAGTCTCTCCAATATCCAAGTTCCTTTCTGAGATGACAAGGGAAGAGTTGAAGATTTGAGAAGAGGAATGCCATCCCATGGTGGGATAGAATGTCTTGGTGTGCCACTTATGTTGAGAAGGGAGAACAGCTAAAGACAAATATTAAAGTGCCTCCAGTGCTGGGCCAGGACTATAAAAGGAAGTCAAATAAATTACTTAGTCAAGCAGGACTCCTGGCTCATAAATTTGAGGGATTCCCAAATGTACTCTAAACGCTTATTCTGGAGAGAACAAACCAAGGTGTCCAAGTCCAGCTCAGGTCTTTTTCCAAGAGCTGCACGATAAAATTCTCCTATTATGGCCAAGTTCTGTGCTTCAGACAATCCCGCTAATTGCTAACAAAAAGAGTTATCCACTTGATGTGCCTGGATCTGCAGCAGATCCCCCAACAACACCTATATTCTTTTCCTTTGTATTATCATTCAGACTTTCAATATGTGTTTTCTGCTGCATTCTGATCATCGGAGTGAGATATGTGGCATAATCTCCTTCACCTTTTTCCCTGTTGTTGTTCCTGAACAAGCTGTGCTCTTTGGTATTAGTATTCCAGTCACATATTCACATGACTGTAACCTACCCAGTTTCTCTTATGTCAATTAAGTTGAAATTTTGATCTTGCATTAAGTTTTCCAGCTCCGTCTATTATTTTTGATACATTTTACATCAGTATAGAGACATCTAGGCTAAGCATCAGTTGGCTTGCTTTCTTCTTCTTCCTCCAATGACATTTTTTAAAGAATCACAGATTTTTCTTTTTTTTTTTTTTCAGCTTTTTTGTCTAGGCCAGTGTGGGTCACGTTCATTTGGACACTCGCATCACCAGCCTTACAGGATGTTTTAGCGCATAGCTGATTAGATTAGCAAATCTATACTAAAGTTTTTCCTTCTTTCTTTGTTAGATGGAGCCCATTTCTTCTCAGCAGTCCTTCCTATCCCATCATGGAAGCATGTGGTTATGCTGAGGAAACCAAGGTCTTCCTTGTAACACTGCACAGCCATGCATTCTCTTTCCCATCCTTACATGCATGTACTCATTTGAGGTTATCTTTTTCTAAATAGAAATTGCAATCATAAATGGTTCTAGGCCTCTCCATCTTTTCACCCAAGAAGCATCTACATCACAAAAACCACAGTGACCACTTATTGTCATAGGGCCACATGATTCCCGGAGGCTGAAGTAACCTCTAGCTTCTTTAGGAGAGAGATGATACCTGTCTAAGACTTTGTGCAGAACTTGAATGTACCAGGACCCTAATTCATGAAATGCAGTGTAACATTATTGATAAGATCGATGCTAAAATACAGAAAACGGAAAAAATGGCATCAGAATAGACATTCAGAAATCTCCTGCTCTTGCCTCTATGCTCCAAAGTCGGATCACCTATATAAAAACTGCTCAGAAATGATGGTTGCCTAACCATACTTTTAAAAATAGCCAGTAATAGGACACTGTGGACTACCACAGCCTATCTATTTCAGTACTTCACTCTCCTACCTTTAGCTTTTCCTATGTCAAACAACTTTCCTCTGCTACAGTTTACTTGTTCTAACCACAATGAATATGGAGAAAAATTTATTCCCTTCTTCTTTGCGAATTGCCTATATGTATACTTGTAAAATAAACAGAGCCAGAACACAGGCCTGAATGGTGGACCTTGATTATCTACAATGTCATGTTTCTAGAACAGGCCCTCACGGAGTTTGGGCATTGCCCTAATAACTTCCCAAACACAGTTTGAGACTTATTACCAGCTCAGATGCAGCTATGTCATCATGAAGGCTGTAAAAGAGTTTAAAGGCCAGATAATGTCTCCAGGCCAAAAAATAAACTGTAGTATTGGTTTGTTGGTTGGGGTTTTGGGGGTTTTTTTTTAGATAAATGTACCCTTTATAGTTAATTCTTATCAACTCTCCTTTTTTGGACAAAACAATGTCAATCTCAGCCTTTCTTCACAGACACCAGGTTGTTCTCACTAGAACCCATGTCGTTTTCAACTGACATTCCCAAAACTAGTCCCTCAAGTGCAATTCCCAAAGTGCAATACTCAGCTGTCCCCTCACCAGTGCTGAGTGAAGATGAACATGATTTTCTGTGGACTACAAATAATATTCCTATTTATGCATTCCAGATCGCTTCATACACAATTTTCGAAGTACTGTTGGATGAACTTAATGAGCTCTAATTGATTTTGTAAATCTCTAAATTATTTAATACTTTTTAATATGTTATTCCAGCATTTACAGCACCATAACCCTTTGCATTTGTTGCTGAAGCTGATGACATTAGCAGTGATAGCACAGGCAGATTTTTCAGTGAGGAAAAAAAAAATCACTACATATTTTGGCCGCTCTGGAGTAACATTTTGGTAGCATCAGGTGGTGATGGAGAAGCTCCTATTACTTCTACTATTTTTGTACCTGTTCTGTGAATCGCTGAGAAATTTCTTTCTCAAGAGCTGCCAGCCTATCCACTTTCAAAAGTACTTGTATGTGTCTTAAAATTAAATGCTAGACTGTTAAGACTTTTTAGGAATGAACTGTGCCTCATAAACCAATCTCTTTGAAAGGAATCCTTAGAAAAGCAAATCAATAAAATTAAAATGATGAAGATAGCTAAACAGTTATCGTTGTCAGCTGACCTCCTATCAATTATCTTGTGGTGTTGTGGCCTTTGTTGCCCATGGTAGTCGACCTTGACATATGTTACTCGTTTTTGAAGCTTCAGCTGCATAGCTTCTCCATTGACAATGATGGGGTGATACCAGAAGCCAGGCTTTACCTTTGCCTCTTGCCTTTTGACATGGACTTTGGTATGCAATGAAACCCTGTGTGGTGGTCCACAGCGGAGCTCGTAGGTGAGCACGGCTGGGTTGCGATCTGCTGGTGGAACAAAAAAGTGTTTGCCTAGAGTAGCAGACCTTAAGGGTGACTGCATCCGTGACTGATGGCTAGTGAAAGAAGTTTGCTAATTTGCAGTGTAGCTACTGCTGACTGATAAAGGGACTTGTACAGTAGCCTCGGGCTTATCTCTTTTGCCAGGTTTACACTGGTGTGACACTGCTGAATTTAGAGAAGCAGTTCCTGACTTACTTCAGGGCAAGGGCAGAATCAGGTCTGATTTTTGCACCACAACCCATACAGATAACCCAGCTCTCACTGGGAAACATCCTGGGTATATTTCAGAATACTTCAATATGTATAAGCATATTTACAGCCTTTCCCCATTTTGTGAGGATATTTTGGATCTTTCTGGTACCTCTCATTATAAAATATTTCTAAGCTAAATCCAGGACAGATAAATCATGACTCTGATTTCCTTCACATAGGGTAGCCTGCCTAAATCACTGCCACATTCTTCTCATAGTAGTTGTTTAAAATTAATAGCACATGCGGAGGAAAAACTAAACCCTTTGACGTCACTCCCGAAATGAGGAAACATAAACAGAAAAGGCTTCGCTCCACCGAGCTGACAGTGCGGGCGCGGATTGGTCTGCTCTCCCGCGCCTGTGGCAGTTGACAGCACCTCCCAGCCCTGCACGGCCTTCGGCTCCGAACACAGGCAGGCAGACTGCAGCAAGCTCAGCTCTACCCCAGCCCTTACACTGGCAGAAAAGTGCACTCTCTTCCCGAGTCTTTTTGCTTCTTAAGGTGGTTTTATTGGCTGGGTTGGGGGACTTGGGGAGGTTTTGTTTTCTTTTTTTTTCCTTTTCCTTTTTTCTTTTTTTTTCATTTTATTTTTGTTTGCTGTCGTTACTTAATTCTATTCCTAATCCTGGATGCAGTTACTGGATTCTGCAGTACAAGTCTTCATGAACAAGCTGCACCGCTTAGAGATTTCACGGCATTCAAAGGTCACAGAACTGCCACTATGGTTAAATGTCTTGTTTAATGGTTGAGGTATGTACAGCAAATCTAAAAGAGGCAGCATGATTATTTTTGAGGGGGAACTAAAATTGTGAGGGGGAGAGGGAGATAATACTATTATTTAGTGGAAAATATTTTTACTGGTGATTGTTACTACAGCAACCGGTTTTTGAATTTCCTCCCTTTTTCTCTTTATTCAAACTAGATGAAAATTTTAACCTATGTTGATTTAACCATTTGATGGCAAAAGAAGATTGCAGAAAGAATCTGTTATTGTTGTCCTTTCCGACCCCTCTGAGGAAAGGGTGATTGCTTTTTCTATATGCTTTCCTACTGCTCTGTGTCAGGAGAGGAGACCTGGGACTTGGCTGCCTTAGATGAAGGGAAAAGAAAGCAGAAACTCGTTCTTATCCTGAGGGGACTGTGAGTTTGAGAGTTAGAGCAGAGAGAGAAAGAGTTGGAAATAAACAGGTCAAGCAGAAAAGAATATCGGCCTCGTTTTTAGGAGTACATATACCACAACTTTTTTTTTTTTTTTTTTACTACATGCTTAGATTATTTTACTTGTTTTGGGTTCAGAAGTTAATTAAGAAGCAGCCTGCACTTTGACTTATAAGCAGATCCTCAGTGGGAAGGGAGGGAGCTGATTGTCTTACATCAACACCAGTTTTCAGATAGTTTTTGCTACTTAAACAGAGAAGAGTGGAAATTTGCTTGGAAGTTGAAGTAATGTAGCCTGATGTCTGTTAGATGGCATATAGGTTCAATTCATATTCGAGCTAGTGATCTGCCTTGAATGAGTATTGCAGCATTACAGTGGACAGTGTGTGCTGCAGGAAACGAAAGCAACTGCTAGCATAAAACTAACATTGTTTTCAGGAGTGTGGTTCTAAAATACAAGAGGAGGAGCCACTTGTCAGACCTCATGTGTGTGTGTGTATGAGTGGTCTTAAAAATAATTTCAGCCAACACAGTGGATTTATAATGTGAATTGGATTAATATACAGGTATGCTCAATGACTAGCAATCTTCATATTTTCCCAGTTTGTGAAACAAGACTTTTTACAGCTCTGTTTGAGATGTTGCTGTAGATATAAACCCTCTGCAATTTGAAAACCTTTCAGTTTAACTTAAAAAATTATACCTGAAAATTCATGTAACAAGGAACAGAACATGAGCACACCTACCTCATGCAATGCACCTCAAAGGGTTACAAAAATTAACTACACTAGGCTGAAGCATGCTAGCTTAAGGACTGCAAAAATATTAGCTCTGAAATGCAGAGGATGTGATATGTGCTGTGAATGGACAATTGCTATTCTGCAGTGCCTAGTGGGAAAACAAGGACTTTGTGTATTGCAAATGCATAACTGCAGCTCCTCCATTTCCTTTGCTGTATCTTCACTGATGACTGCAGAAACAGAGGCTTGTCACAGATAAACTCTTTAGGGCCCCATCTCTTTGGAGATGCTTGAGGATATTTTTTTTCATATCATCCAACAACCCAAAGTCAAGCTTTGTTAGTTGAACTGTTATTCTGTAATGTCCACACCATTCTCTCCTCTGCCCTCCCCAAAGTATTACTATGTGAACTGCCAGCTGTTTTCAAAAGCTAAAGCACTGATCCTCTAGCCCCAAGTTTAGAAAGGTTAACACAGTATTTGTTAGATGATTAATTAGTAAATTTGACTAAGGGGAAGCCTCAGTCTATAGGGACTACAGTCTATTCTGTAAGGAACAGCCCTGTAACTACATGAAGATATCCAAGTTTCCAAAAGACATTTGTTTATAATAATTTCCTAGAATTAAATTATTCACTTCTTTTCATAAACATTCTTTTGAGAAGCTTAGTTTTTAAGCTCTATAATCTACACTTTGCTGCATCTGTTTTGTAGCAACTGCTACTGGTAATACTAATAGTAAATATGTGAAGTAGACTTCAGCTGAGGAAATGACACCGTTTTTCTACTTCAGTGAGAAAAGTTTATCTGCAATGCTTTCTCTGAACATTCTTAATTCAGCATCAAGAACAAAATATAATTTAAGGTTGGCCTTTCTGCAGTGGATGAAATGCTTACTGACGTTTGCAGTCACATTGCCTCAAAAAAAAAGTCTGTATTGCAGAAGTTTCATGTCATATGAATGGCTGCTCATTCTGAGTTTATTTCCATAGGGTGGACAAGAGCTGTCACTAGTGAAAGTCTAGTGATTTCAGTAGAGTAAGGTGTACTCTGCTGAGTCTGATCCAATGTATTGCAGATCACTTTTTTTAAACTGTGAAATTTTTAATTCTGTAAACTAGTATATAAATATATCATTCTAACAGCACCTGTTTCCTCCCCTTCCTCCCTGTTTATGTGCTTTTTCCCTTTTGAAACCCAGCCCTCTGCTTGCCTTTACCACACCTCTAGGTAGGTCATTAAAGCAGACTGATTTTCCAGTGTCTTCATTGCAATTATGAAGTATAATTGAGACATTCAATCATACATCATTCCTTTTCACTCACCCCATGGTTCTTCTACCAATAGTTAAAGCATATTTAAATGAGAAACAGTCTGAAATTTGATATTTTATGTGTGTGTGTATATATATATGGTTTTCTTGTAATTTCTCAGTCTCATAGGGAAAAAACTTCTCTTGTACTGGTAATTTCCTTTCTAGGAGCTGTATGAAGCAGAAATGCCAGCTACTAACCAAGATATTACTGTTAATACACTAAAAACTGATGCCTCTTTATTTAATGATAAGAAATGTTTAAGACCTAATCTGTCCTATAAGCAAGCTAGGTATATGGCCAAAAGCCCTTGATGCAGTTGGGCTGACAGAAAAACAAGTCATTTGAGGCAGCCAGGAAGACATCCCATGTAAATGAGCATTCTTAGCAACTCACTATTGTTCATCTTTTCTTCATTTTCATGCTTGAAATTATTATGGAGCTCCATGTGTTTGTCACAGGGTGAAAGTGAAAGGGACAGCTGGGGTCCTACCAGCTGCCAGAACAAAATTAAGTGTTTTGTAATGAAATGATGGCTCAGTATTTCTCCTCCTACATCCATATTGGGTGGAAGATGGGACTTTCTGTGTTGGAATTATAGCATTCATTTTTCTTGTTCCTCAGCCAGAAAGCAGGCTTACCCTTGCAGGGACATCAGTTTTCACACTTTCAGTGAAACATTGGCTTTGCATCTAGTGTGAATATTGCACTTTTCAGTCGCAAACTTCAGGATGCGGAACTGATGTTATTTAGCGTTTATACCCTGGGGGCACTGAGACACGCAGATGTGTAGCCTAAGTGTCCAGAGCAGTTCAGAAGTTCAAATGCCTTTTCTTTCTCTGGCCAACATGAGGTCCACCTTTTTAGGTAGCTAAAGATGAACAACGGTAGCTGAAAAGCCGGGCCACAAAGCCAAGCATCACATATGCAACCAGACAAGGGTGGCTGGTAACCTTTTTCTGTGATTTCACAGTAATGTGTGGAAAGCAAAAAATGTGTCTTCTGATAGGAGTTGGTATTTGTCAGGTCTGAAGTATTAGCTTTCTGTAAATGCTAAAGAGAGAGAATATATTTGTTGTAGTTAAGACAATTTATTTAATTAATTTATAAAAATTTAAAGTGCGACGTCAACTTCTGAAAGATTTTTTAGCAAAAAGAATTCTTCACTATCTTCCTGAAAATTTAGAACACTTCTTAATTTTTACTATTGTTCTTACTACAGTAGCATTCCAAGAAAATTGCATTAGAAAACAATATCTGAACCTCTGAATTTATCATTTCTGTTTTCCTGTAACAGACTGTGGGATTCAGGAGATACATCGCTAGCATTCACAGTGCTCAGATCTGGGCTAGTGATATCTATCTATTTTAAAGCCTCCAGTTTTAAAGCAGAAAATTAACAAATCAGAGCCAGATCGGATAGAAGAGAGAGCAGTACTAGAAGCCAGACTGCAGTGGCAAAACTAAGTGAAAGTTTGGGGCAGAGACAATTCTCAAAAAACAACAGTCAAATGATTTAAGCATTTCTTTTGCACACATTTAATAGTGTGGTATCTGCAGTCCAGCAATGCTGTAATTTTGATATACATTTTTTACTTATTCTGTTCTTAGAAAGTGAAAAATGTATAACTATCATTTTATTATGTAAATAGTGTTGAACTATAGAAACTAAACTAATGAAAGGGCCCTATTGAGTTTGATTTTTCTTATTTTGTTCTTCCTCCCAGTGGGAGTTGTGAGTGAGGATGGATGAGAACTCAGTTTAGCTACTTATTTAAGCCACATAGTCTCATGGTGGTATATGATATGTTTCTGCTAGCTTACTATCCAGCCAAATAAGACATCCAGGTTGCCTGGATGGATAAACATAGCTGATGATCTCTCCCTCTTAATAGGTGGGGAGGAGCAGTTAGGATTCTCCCAGTTGCACACAGAGACAAATTTGTTCTGGTTTAGCTAAAGAATAATTGCATGCAGACACAGACAGCAAGTTTTATTTCTCTTTGTATAGGTTATTTTAAAAATAAGAAACAAATATTTAGAAGAAGATAGTCGCAGAGGTACTTTTTTCCTTAGCTGGTAGGTTTATACTAGTTACCCACAAAAATTCCTGGTATGAGAAAACTCACCAACTAATATCTCACTGTGGCATGTGTTAATGCCGGCAGTGTAAGGCTTTTTTTAAAGTAGAGTACAGAATCTCCTGTCAAACTAAGTTTAGCTAATTGTCAGAGGCAGAAAAACACACTTGTGGAGCAACTGCTTTCAGGACCTATATACGATTTTCTATATGGTTGTTTGTAGCAGAGTCTATGATACTAACCCATCTGGATGTAGGAAAGATGTTTTGGAAAGGACGATCATTACCTTTCCAAGAATAAAGTGGGAGGTAGGCATGTTTTGACTGAATATGCAGCAACTCAGACGGCTCAGAGAAATATACTTCTGTAAAAGTGAAATTAAGAAAACTCAGCTTCAACTAGAGAACTCCTGGAGAATGATATTGAGCTACTGTGTACTTACTTCTGCTCCTTTTGGA